ACACAGAAGCAGCTATTTCCAAAGCAGCGTACGGAACAAACGGTCACAGCCACCACGAGGGAATTTCCAAAGAGGCGTACTGTGGTCACAGTGCTGACAATCCGGACGATGTAGGCACCTCTGGCAACTCGAACGTCAAAGAGGCATACCGAAGTAAAATCTCTCTGGGTTGGTCATCCGTTGCTCTCTTGGCAACATTACTTGCTTCTTCAGTCTTGGCTTCATCATCCTGACAATCATCGGCGTCGTCGTCGATGCGTGCAATTGTGGGTTGTTTCTCCATCCTGGGTGGCGCTTGTGCTTCACTAGAAGGCGATACGGGGAAGGCTCCGACTTTTGCCATGCCTCCACCTGACACCGACTTTTTCTTCTCGGCAGCGTCCGACTCCGCCATTGCCGCCGTCGTTTCTTTGTTGGTCTCCTTCTCGCTCATGGTTTTTGCCTATGGTGGCATCTCTCTCACTACTCTGTGCTACTCCACTACTTTTCCAAGCGAGTTATTCACCTTCGGTTTTGTGGGTTTCCTGGCTTTCTTCCAGTATCAAACAGGTATTGCCAGCACTACCGTAATAGCTGGATATTGGGGGATGGAGAAAATCATTTTCGATATTTGCCCTCGTGAGTGCTACCATACCGTAACCCGAAGACAGTGCTAAACAGAGGTAGCAAAGAGTGGCAAATAATTTTGGAAACAGTGGTTAGAGAGGGGGAAGCCTTCTTGTATGCATAGTGGTCAGCAATGGATTACTCCAACCCCCTGAGTATTACTCCAATGTGGAGACTGCCCCAGAAAGTGAGTTGTAACCGGTACTGTACCGTCAGATGGAGTTCCAGATGTTCCTGGACAAAGTGAACCTGAGCCTAAGAGATTTAACATTACCTTCGCTGGAACATAATTACTGTATTGATGATCTATTGAGGGTTCATACTGGCATTGTGCAAGGTCAGAGATTTAGAAACAATGGGAAAGCATGTGATCGTCAATAATGCAAACATCAAAAACGAGAAGCCAGAAATTTCGGCAAGTCACATGCCAGGAAGCAGGAAGGTACACTGTGTACTGCACGCTCCACTCTCCCTTGGACCAGTTGTAACAGTATGTAACCAGAAGATGCGGGACCGAACCATGTGTCTCGGCTCACAGAATAGATCGTATCTTGGACCTTGGCCCTTGGATTGAATGACCTGATGAGGGCTGCAACCATTGAGCTATAGGCCATCTTTACAGTAGCTGCTAGCTGCTGGACCGTACCGGTACCGGTGCAGCCACTGACTGGTCTCGTTCTGGACGTTTTTATGATATTTGGTTCCTCTGCATCTTCTCCTCTTCAGAATTGCAGTACGAGGCGAGACAGTTGGAGCTGGAAGTCCAATGCAGCTACCGGAAATAGGCTGTGCGTGGTGTGTGCCGCATGCGTGGTCCGCTTGGTGCGTACCGTACCGTACCGTACCGTACCGTACAGTAAAAGTATATGTAATGTGTAACTTGGGAGATGTTGTCAAACAGTTGCTGCTCTGGTTTCTTGTCAGATCCGACACCCGACAGCAAGCAAACCACAGTTGGAAGATCAATTATTGGAAATGGAATGAATTGAAGCTGTGCTCAGACCAGATACATTCCTTCAGTTTTGTGGAAATAGATGGAAGATATCGAGTTCCTGGAGGCAGAAGTCCACTTTGATATGACAGATTGAATGGGGTCAGAGTGCCACAGATCTTTGTGCTCTGTGGCCTTGAGAGATAAAGGAGATCACATAAAGTGACAAAACTAACTCTTACACAATGTCGAGATATACTAGCTGGCTTAAACCTTGCTCGTTCATCTACACAGGGGGGTTTAGAGTAGGGAAATTATCTACGGAAGCCAGCCGGGGCCAGGCTTAAGCAAAGAACAGTCGAAATTCAGGACTAGGTTCTGTGGGATCAGGGGCAAGAAAGTGAGGACCATTACGGGGGCCAAATGGATCTTCAAAGCGGGAGCTGCGATACCTCGGCAGAAAGACAGATAGAAGGATGGCATGTTTGAGATTGCACCCTTCTTTCAAGGTAGCCCTGGCGACAACACCCGACTTCGTCGTGTGTTGCCGCCTGGTATCATTCCCTCATTATAACCTTCTTTTTTATTTAAGGTAGCCCTGGCGACAGCACACAACGAACGCCCGCTAACCATAATTTTACAGCTGTCACTCCCGTATGTACCTGTAACTTTTGTAGCTTCTGCTGGCTTATTGTGTTGAGTGCACTAACCTTGAATAACCATGATTTATTCCTACCCCTAAATTTGTAGAGTTGGCTTGTGCCTATCTCTATCCCTATATTTTGGCTTCACCGGAACAGGAAACAGGAAACAGGAAACAGGAAATACCAAAAAAGGGGGTGAGGGCTCAGGCAGATAGACTGCCGAGGTAAATATTGAAATTCAATAGGAGTAACAGGGCCCACTGGCTGGATAATATTCTGTGTGCTGCGTGTGGCGGTGTGCTAGTGTGGTCCGTTTGGCGATGGCTGATGTAATGGGTAACTTGGGAGATGTTGTCAACTGCCTCTCATCACAACACTTTTCTCATCCCAAGCAAGACTCTATCTTCATAAATACACTGTGCAATAGTCGTGACAAGAATGATGTCAAGATAGGTCTTGACAAGATAGATCTCCTCTACAGGAGACATGTTAGTCTTGCTCGGAGCCAGGGGCTTTGTATCTACATAATCTAGATAGCTCATAATTTACCCAAACAGTCTGCTAGATCTAGCATAAGGCACAGTGATATCACTCCTTTTGACAAGGATCATTCTCACGATCCTTTGACTGAGGGATATTTTGCGACAATGGAAGCTTCCAACCAACAACAACAATATCTGAGAAGCGCATCTGAAGGTAGGATACCAATCTATAAGGTAGGTTATCGATTAAAGTCGAAGGTCGACCCTACGATACAAATCGTGAAGGGAGGTTGTGGATTATGCACTGAAGCTTCTGGTTCCCCATGAAATAGTACTTACAAATCCGTTAAAGGCATGCTCAATGATCCAGTACGGCCCGTTTAACAAACCTACGCCCTCGTTGTTCACAATGCGTGTGGTGGACACCGTGCATAACTTGAAGCATGTCTGGGTCATTGGTAATTAAAAAGGATCGGCTTTAAATAGTTCTTTCCCTCCGAACAAAGATGTTTACCGTATAAAGCAGGATCCAGTACCTAGCCGAATGGAAGGGCAATTCCTACTCAATAGTCATGCAAAGCATCCAAAAACACGGCAAACATGCTTCCAAATTAAGAGTTGCTAGGATACTAATCACTAAGTACAGTTCGGGAAACTAGACCAAAAGAGGGGAAGATTGGGATAATATTGGGGTTAGAATCTTTAAGGATACTACTGGCGAATACTGCAGCGAGAGGTTTTGAACAACAACAATCGGGAGACAAGATTGTCATGGTTAACAGGAATAAAAAGGGGAGAAAAGGTTACCGAATAAGTAACCGAACATCGCATCAATAGACAAGGTGCGGCAAGAAAACAGGGTGGCATTGGATGCAAAACAGCAACTCGGGAGGCAACCAAACAATGACGGAAGAGGTAACAGCCGCCATGGTAGCCATGCCAAAAGAGGAGGAATGAGGGGGAAAAGCAAGGCAAAGGACCCCCTGGATTTGGGAGCGTAGCATGCCAAATGGCAGCCTTTGGCTCTAGTTTGGGAACCTTGGCCACCTACAAGCCCAAGCTAAGCTTCACCTCGGACGGCGTCTTCTTCTTCTTGGGGGGCTCACCATCATCTTCACCATCCATACCAAAGGCATCGATGCGGACTCGTGCAAGGATGGCCTCTTCTACTTCTTGAGCATAAGGCTGTGCTCTTGAATCCACAACCTGCTGCCGCAAGTCCTCAAAACGTGCAAGTCCGGCATCAGTCCACCCTCCAAATTCGCAATTTCCACCCTTGCCATTGGAGTCCCGGCCATCATGTTTCCCATTCTTATCTTCTGCTTTGGACCTTGGGACCGCCTTCTTCTCCTTGCACCTGTTTGTCAAGGCGAAGTATGCAGGCCACTTTCCTGGCAAATTCAGAAGATTGCCTTCCTTATCCCTTGCATCAGGATCCGGAGTGGCGCCATTCTCAAAGAAGAGGACAGCCATAGCTTCCGTATTGGGAGGCACGCAAACCTCACCCTCATATGTTGCTTCCGAAATGGTGCTATGCACACGGATCCCTTGCCTCCACCACTTGCATGCTCCAGCCACTTGTGCAAGGAAGCAGTTCCACCACCACACAGCCTTCTTCATCAGGTCCTCATGAGCAGCCTTTTCTTCATCAGTGGCATCCTCTTTTGGGGGAATCAACACCTTGTCTCGGTTCATAATCTTCAAGATGTCATCCATGGAGGGGAAGTCAGCCGTCCCCTTCTCCACAACAAACTTCTTCACATGGTTGAAGCACTGGCTCTGCA